TGAAAGACATTTAAACTATGTCTTTAATGTATTTTTAGATTTTTTCATATGTTACAACATTGTTCCCTCAATAAAAACAGACTCAACAACATTTATGGACATTTATGAACATTTATAGACATTTATGGACATTTATGGACATTTATGGACATTGGTGTAAATGAATAGTTTTTGGGATTTGTTTTGTTTTGTTTCCATTTCTGGTTCCGTTCTGGTTTGTCCTGATTTACAAGCTTCAAAATAATTTATAAAACGCTAGAATTGACAGATTAATTAAAAACAAAAAATCCTAAAAACAGATAAATTTGAATTGTTCTTTGCACAAATAATTTTCTACTTTAGTTAGAACCAAACGTTATGGTTGGTTATGGTTAAAGGGAATAAAGCAGTAAAGTAGTAGTGAAAGTTAATTATGCGTAATACTGAGTACATCGTTCCACCTTTTGCTGTTTGAAACTCAGGTACCGCAGCTTTAGCATTAGCATTAGCATTAGCATTAGCTTTAGCTTTTTGAACAGGATTTCTGCAGACAGACCTTGTTGTTGTTTGTGGACCTTTAAACTCTTCGTCTCTGGACCGTGAAGACCCAGATGTAGCTGTTTGTTTCTCTGACTCTTCTCTCCATCGCCCCTGTACATCTGGATTGGTTTAGATATGACTGGATTGGTTTAGATATGTCTGGATTGGTTTAGATATGTCTGGATTGGTTTAGATATGTCTGGATTGGTTTAGATATGTCTGGATTGGTTTAGATATGTCTGGATTGGTTTAGATATGACTGGATTGGTTTAGATATGTCTGGATTGGTTTAGATATGACTGGATTGGTTTAGATATGTCTGGATTGGTTTAGATATGTCTGGATTGGTTTAGATATGTCTGGATTGGTTTAGATATGACTGGATTGGTTTAGATATGTCTGGATTGGTTTAGATATGTCTGGATTGGTTTAGATATGACTGGATTGGTTTAGATATGTCTGGATTGGTTTAGATATGTCTGGATTGGTTTAGATATGTCTGGATTGGTTTAGATATGTCTGGATTGGTTTAGATATGTCTGGATTGGTTTAGATATGACTGGATTGGTTTAGATATGTCTGGATTGGTTTAGATATGTCTGGATTGGTTTAGATATGACTGGATTGGTTTAGATATGTCTGGATTGGTTTAGATATGTCTGGATTGGTTTAGATATGACTGGATTGGTTTAGATATGTCTGGATTGGTTTAGATATGTCTGGATTGGTTTAGATATGTCTGGATTGGTTGGTTTAGATATGTCTGGATTGGTTTAGATATGTCTGGATTGGTTTAGATATGACTGGATTGGTTTAGATATGTCTGGATTGGTTTAGATATGACTGGATTGGTTTAGATATGACTGGATTGGTTTAGATATGTCTGGATTGGTTTAGATATGTCTGGATTGGTTTAGATATGTCTGGATTGGTTTAGATATGTCTGGATTGGTTGGTTTAGATATGTCTGGATTGGTTTAGATATGTCTGGATTGGTTTAGATATGTCTGGATTGGTTGGTTTAGATATGTCTGGATTGGTTTAGATATGTCTGGATTGGTTTAGATATGTCTGGATTGGTTTAGATATGTCTGGATTGGTTTAGATATGTCTGGATTGGTTTAGATATGTCTGGATTGGTTGGTTTAGATATGTCTGGATTGGTTTAGATATGTCTGGATTGGTTTAGATATGTCTGGATTGGTTTAGATATGTCTGGATTGGTTTAGATATGACTGGATTGGTTTAGATATGTCTGGATTGGTTTAGATATGTCTGGATTGGTTTAGATATGACTGGATTGGTTTAGATATGTCTGGATTGGTTTAGATATGTCTGGATTGGTTTAGATATGACTGGATTGGTTTAGATATGTCTGGATTGGTTTAGATATGTCTGGATTGGTTTAGATATGACTGGATTGGTTTAGATATGTCTGGATTGGTTTAGATATGTCTGGATTGGTTGGTTTAGATATGTCTGGATTGGTTTAGATATGTCTGGATTGGTTTAGATATGTCTGGATTGGTTTAGATATGTCTGGATTGGTTTAGATATGTCTGGATTGGTTTAGATATGACTGGATTGGTTTAGATATGTCTGGATTGGTTTAGATATGTCTGGATTGGTTTAGATATGTCTGGATTGGTTTAGATATGTCTGGATTGGTTTAGATATGTCTGGATTGGTTGGTTTAGATATGTCTGGATTGGTTTAGATATGACTGGATTGGTTTAGATATGACTGGATTGGTTTAGATATGTCTGGATTGGTTTAGATATGTCTGGATTGGTTTAGATATGTCTGGATTGGTTTAGATATGTCTGGATTGGTTTAGATATGTCTGGATTGGTTGGTTTAGATATGTCTGGATTGGTTTAGATATGACTGGATTGGTTTAGATATGTCTGGATTGGTTTAGATATGTCTGGATTGATTAAGACGAACAAAACTGGTCAGGGTTAGACCGGAGCTGGTAGGAGCAGCTGAAGTATAACATTTGTTTAGTTTTATCATATATTTATTTTATTTCTTTTGACAAATGAACTGTAAATGACATATTATTTTCTAGAATGTTTTGATTCAACCACAACTGGGGCAAGTATCAAGAATGAGATGTATTGGAAAGTAAACAATTGCCCTAGCTTCTGATGGACTGTGGTAATGGCCTGTTTCAGAGAGTGGAGAGTAAAGAAACATTAGAATGTGCTTTGGACTTACTAAAGTAGCTCTGTACTCCACGGCACCGGGCCCTCAGTTTGAGAAACCCTGGAGCACGTGTTTCTGTGACACGCCACCGTGTAAATGACCACGAGGCCCCAGTCTCTCGCTTCAGTGACTCTGTGATAATTGCATGTAGCTCTGGGAACGCTGACAGAGGGCCCCTGTTTGAAGCCTGGGTAATGACAGAGCGCCCCACGGCCTCCATGTGCCGCGGGAGGATGACACACACCGGAAACTACCGCCAAACAGGGCCAAACCGGGCCAAACAGGGCCAAAAACACACGGGACTCAGCCAAAATTACAGGAGGAGAAATAGGGCATAGAAAGAGACCGCGGCGGCGAGGGGGAGGGGCTAAACAGGAGCAAAGGCTTTTGTAGTGAGGCTCAAACAGCACTACATACACTGTGGTGATAAAATACTGCTCTAGGCCATGTGGGTGAAGTGTGTTGCCCAAGGACACAACAGCAGTTTGGAAACCTGATCTAAAGCCATGACAGAGGACTTCCCCAGTGTTCTCCAGCTTTGAGAGATCATTGGTTTTATAACGTGCTTTTATAGACTCTCAAAGATGCTTCACATGCCGTAAACACAGTGGAGACACACTGCTTCTGTAGCCACAGCTGCCCTGGGGCACACTGACAGAAGCAGGACATTGGCCATCCCCTCTGTGATCACACAATCGTCCTTGCCAAAAGACACAACAGAAATGTGGTACTCCACAGCCGCCGCTAGAGGTCTCCCATCACAGTACTAACCAGACCCTGCCCTGCTCAGCCTCAGAGGTCTTTCACCTGCAGGGGGCGACACATGTAATACTTTATGGATTTATCTTCAAAATACTCTTTTTTAGACATGCTTCCTACAATGTTTAATATCTGTAAATGAATTTAACCCCACAACATCAGGTGAAGGAGAGGCAAGTCCTGGATCTGCAGGACTGAGGCTGTAGACCCAGGACTGAGGCTGTAGACCCAGGACTGAGGCTGTAGACCCAGGACTGAGGCTGTAGACCCAGTCCTGGGTCTACAGTCTAAAGTTCTTGGAATGACTTTGGTCTTAAATATAAAGAGGACTTCCTTAAATACTCAGCAGCTCTGGACCAGGAGGAGACACATCGACCACAACAAGAAGCAAAACCGTGTGTTTTAGACCAAATTTGACCCAAACCAGGAAGTGACCCTCAGATCACCGACTGCAGAATCATCCTTTTGTTAGACTTTATTAAAGACAGATTTTGGTTCAGTTTGTGCCAGTTTCTAAAAACTCACTGTGTGATAAACGTGTCTTTTATTACTGTCTTTTGTGGCTCAGAAAGACAAAAGTCTGCGATGGATTAGAATAAAAATAGATAAAGGTTTTGAGCCGGATCGAATGAATGAAAGCGGAAAGAGGACGAACAGTTTAAACAGGACGTAGAATAATCCAGAACAAATGTGTCTGAGGACATATAACTGCTCTATTGTTTTATAAGCTGAATTTAAGGTGGACTTTAAGACGGTTGGAATACTGGATAAACTGTGTATTTGTTTTCTACTAATCTGTGGAGTTGTCGCTGCAGAGTCACTTTAATTCTTTCTTTATTTACAAAACTTCATAGTCACACAAGTCAGACACATTGTTTTTGTAAAGTTGGTTTGTGTTTTGTAAAAGGGAACTCCCAGGAAGCTGCATTAGCTTATCGGCTAAAACCAGAATTAAAGAAGAAATTAAAGACATTATTTCTGCCCATTCAAAATAACATAATATCTCTGCCTGTAACTCCCTACGCTGCCACCAGAGGGAGGTGTTGAACAGAGTTGACTTAAGTCTCCTTTAAGGTACTTCATTCAATGTCCATCAGTTTGAACATTTTGGACTTAAATCTTCCCAGATTCAGGGTTAGATTGTTTCATGTTTTTTTAAGATAGAAGCACATTTTCACTTGTATTAACAAAGAGGATGGAATAAGAATGTTTTAGTTTGTCCCACGAGAAAATCAAAAAAACTAAAACTAAACACGACGACAGAAGATATATTCAAGTCAGTGATTATTACACAGTAAGTGACAAACCAAGCCCAAATATGTCATATTAATGAGGGAACAATGTTTAAAACCTTTTGGAGACTCTCCTC